AATCTCTGTTGGATACATGCAGCACTCCAGTCTCTGCCTCTCCATCGTGTGGCATCTCCCCGGTGTGTCTGTGTGCTTCGTGTCTTCACACAGCACTCTCCTTGTACCTCGGGAATCCGGATTTTCCTCTTATAAGGACATCTGTTATGGAATTAGGGGCCACGCTGATTCTGTGTAAACTCATCAACCACAGAAGCACATTCCAAGCCTTTGTTTATATCATGGTAACTAATACTCATTGGTCAAAACATGACAGATGGCACCCCATGTCAGAGGGTGGAGAAGTGAATGCATTTGCCATGAAGTCATGCCCAGGCTAGGTAGGCGTGAGGATTGTGCTCACATTGTGCCTATACCAGAAAAGCTTCAGTGCCTTAACAACAAACTTCAATATTCCTGGCAGGAGACATCTCATGATGCATGGCACAGAAGAGAGTTATTATTACTATAATTGGTGAGTTGTCCCAGTGGATGATCTCCCTCTACTGTGGTTTCTACAGCAAGACTCACTTTTTAGAAGCACATTCTAGAGCATGGCTTCTAGATTTCTGATGGTAAAACGGTACTTAAGATCAAAATCCCAAAAAGTTTGATGATTGGCATCACAGCCAACCTTCTGTAACGGCGATGTAGGTAAGAGTTGGGGAAAGACGAGTGTTTTCCCGTGTCAAGGGGAAATGCAGCTCACGGTGTTTCACCATGTGGTGGTGGAGCTGCCAGCCCTCTTACAAAGCAATACTACATGAACAGACAGCCCCTTTTTGTGGCTCTATTAAATTATTCTCTGATCTTAAGTCTTTAAAGGATAGCTCTCGAGATTAGGGGGTCAAAACTGAGTAGGTGGACCTGAGGAAGCCAGCTACTCTTTTTTTTTTCTTTATAATTATTTATTTTATTTTGTATTTTTTTTTTTTTTAATTCGACCAGAGAGAGACAGAGGGTGAGGGTGAGAGTGAGAGAGAGAGGAAGTGAGAAAGCAAGCCATCGGATTCAGGACTCGAACCCTGGTCGGCCATGTGGGAGTGTCGAGCGCCTTAACCACCACGCCACCTGCTGGTCCCAAGAAGTGTGTCAGAAGTGGGATAGCCAGCTACTCATTTTTAAGGCAGTCAAGTTGATATGGATATTTGATGACAGTAATTTTACATAGTCACGGACATACACATTGTTTTTAATAGTAATTAATAGGGACCAGCAGTTGGGCTTACGGCTACATCGCTGGACTCCCATGTAGTCAACCGTGGTTCAAGTCCCGAACCTGGTGGCTTAAACTCACACCAGGCACGTGTGTGTGCATGCCCAAGATCCTGAGAGGAGAATGGAGGAGAAGGGATTGAGGCATTGCCATCCCCCCTGGGGGGTGATTTCTCACTTTCTGTCTGTTTTTCTCTGTCTTTCTGGTGAGCACATGCGCCCTATAGCAAAAATCTCTCAAAAAAATAGTAATTAATAACATTAGCTTCTGTTTCTACTTGTAGTATGTCTTATATGGCATGTACAGTGGATTTATTATCTTTATTACTCATGGTAATCCTACTAGGTACTATTACTCCCATGCTATGCATGAAAAAACTGAGGCTCAAAAAAGCTGAATTAATTGCCCAAGGACAGATGGCTAGCAAGTTGCAAGTTACTGGAGTATAAACTCAGATTTATTCCAAAGTCTGAGCATAGGGCCACTGTAATTGAATGCTTCTTTTCATCCTTGATCTCTGAATTCTGACTTGAACGTATTTAAGAGGATTCATTTGGCTTATAAGAGAATAAAAAATATTTGAGTAGCCTAAACTTTTTTAGAGAGGTTTTTTTTCTATAGGGTGCATGCATTCACTGGAAAGACAGAGAGAGAGACAGGGAGACAGAAAGCAAGAAATCACCCCTGAGTGGGGGATGTCCACGCCACAATCCCTTCTCCATTCTTTTGGGATTTTTGGCATGCCTGCACATGAATGCATGTGTTTTAAGCTGCTGGATCTGGGACTTGAACTGTAGTTGACTAGGTGGGAGACCAGTAACGTAACCATTACGCCATCTGGTGGTCCCTTGAGTAGCCTGAATTTTTAAATTTTTTTGGACAGGTTTTTGCTACAGGGTGCATGGGCTTGTCAGAAAGAGAGACAGAGAGACAGAAAGCTAGAAATCACCCCCTGGGGGGATGGCCACGCCGCAATCCCTTCTCCTCCATTCTCCTCTCAGGATCTTGGCACGCACACACATGCTCCTGACGTGAGTTTAAGCCACCAGGTCTGGGACCCAAGCTGCGGTCGACTGCACGGGAATCCAGTGACATAGCCATTACAACAACTGCTGGTCCCTGTAGCCTGAATTTTTATGAAGAACGTATAGAACTTTGAGAGTCCCTCTGCAGGTTCTCAGAGTCCCTGTTTGAGAGATGGGGTTGTAGTCTCAACAGGGGCCCGGAAGGTCACTGGGACCAGAGGTACCTGACTGGCCAGTCTTTCTTCTGCTGCCTTGCAACTGGGGGCCCAGGACAATAGATGGCCTCATTCATCCCCTTGTTCTAACCCCTGAAAACAGGGTCATGATGTCTCCTCTTTGATTTGTTGTTAAGGATTGTATTTGACAATGCAGGTAAGACACAGTTTGAGAACATCGTGGAGTAAAGGCTTTAAAGGCGAGAAATAGCATTGTCAGCATTCGCCTGTCAAAGTGCATTTACAGGAGGTCACACTTCTATGTGGACAGACTTTAGAACTGTGCCAGCCACTTTCTGTGCGAAAGCTACATTCAGCGTTCAGTAAATCTACAAATAGAATTTGCACCAACAGAAAAACTGGTGCAAAAGAAAACTCATGCAGATTTTGCAGGGGGGATGGGAAATCAGTAATTACTAAAGAGGGCAGGGAATCTCAGAAGAGCATTTCGCTGTCCTTGTGAAATGCAAAGAAGCATATTGGGGGCCAGCCTTTGGGATGCTGGTTAAAGCTCTGGAGTCCTATATGGCCAACAGCTGTTCTAGTCCTGGACCTGGTAGCTTGAAAATCATGTGGGGCATTTGTGTGTACCTGCCCAAAATCCTGAGGAGAAAATGGAGAAGGGATTGTGGCATGGCCATTGCCCCTGGGGTTTAATTTCTTACTTTTCCTCTCTCTGTTTCTGTCTTTTTCTCTCTGGTGAGTATATGTGCCTTATGGCAAAAAAGTATTTTTATAAAAGTATATATGAGGAGTAAAATAGAAAATTCAAGGCAGTTTTCCTTCTACAGTGAGTGTGGGTAAACTAAAAAATATCACCTGTGTGAGAGGGGAAGAGTGTAGCAAATTTAAATGGGGGGAAGGTGAGAGGTAAGACGCTTGTGGGACACAGACAAGGTTTGTTACCTGTTGACGAGGATGTGTGTGGTGGTCTCAGCTGGGCTGGACTGAGGTGTATATTGTGCTGGGTAAAGTCTCCTCGCAATCTAAATGATGTATAGCGATTTAATGTATGAATAATAAAAAGTACATGAATAAAATAAAGGAAGAAAGCGCTAACTACATAAATAAATATGACCAATTAGTCTAAAAGAATCACCTTCATGCTCCCCAGATTAATTAAAATTTCACATTTTTAAGGTTTTGTATCTGTTAGAGGTTTATTAAAATACCTTCTAATCTTTAACGTCTTTCTCCAAACATTTCTATTTTTATACAATACCCATTGATAAGACCTGTCTATTTCTAGACAGCACCATGCTCAGTCATGAAGGCCGCCATTTGTATCTGACTTGTGTGAGAACGGGTCGCCGTTCCCTTCACTGTGGGCAGCTGGTGGAGAGTTCATCCCAGCGCTGCCTCACTGTGTCACTTGAGCCTGGATTAGAGGCTGGTTCACACATGTCGTTTTCCCGTATTGTGACTCCAGCCTGAGTGACGGAATGCCAGCGTTCAGCATTACAGACTGCGATGGTCCCACCAGGACTTTCATTCCGTTTATTCAGTTTGCTTTTTGTCTGATCTGAGAATGGCACCAGGGTGGAGGCTCATTTTGCAGAAATTGTGGGGAAACTGGCTGTCTCCTCCCTCTTCCACA